CATTTAGGTAAATATAACGTGCTAATGAAATTACGCATTTTCGTACAAAGTACGGCTAATAAAGGAACTATCCTAAAATGGTCGAATTTCGGAAAACGGACAGATGATTCGGAATCAGCGCGTCGAAATACTCTAAAGAGGGTCCCCATCAAATTTTATAAAAAGTCAACAGTTAACCCTAAAAGTCAATCGATGTATATATTATCTGGGATAACTCACTAATCAATATAGGCCCACTAAGTCCTACATATTCTCTAGTAATACTGATTTTAATATTTAAGAACAATTCGTAGCATATTGTCCAAAAGTCAAGTCTCTATCAAAGGTGAGGTCTACAACCCTACACAAGTCAATCTGGAACATCCGCCCATGGATTTCTAATCTATAACTTCCCAAAGTCCACACTAGGCTTCCAGAACAACATACTAAAACTTCTTTACGATCCAACGGTTGGATCTCTGCCAATTTCAAATTCAAGTGGCGGTCAACGTTGGATCTCTGCCAATTGCAAATTCAGATTCCCGATCCGTAAGTTCCTAATATCCAAAAATATTATGTAATATCACGTATTAAAGTTTGGTGGTGATCCAACGGTCGGGTCGTCCATTCATATAATAACCAAGTGACGACCAATTAGGCGGTCCACTACGAAACTATATTAAAGCATCAGGATTTCACTAAACGGATGTCAATTATAAAATCAGGGCATCAAATTATCCTTGGATGGTCAGGTGGGGTCTCAACCCACGCTCCTCTACCACGCGCCGCCACACGCGGCAGCCGGTCGCCCCGACTAGCAGGAAAATCAACTATTTCCAAATATTACCAAATTTCACATAAATGAAGATCTCAATGAATAGAGCAAGTTTTAGACCTGTGGCCAAGTCCAATTTAGCCGGGAAAATCCCCAATTCCACTCGAACTCGCCGGAAACCTTAGAAATTGGTGGCTTCGATCTGTCACCTCCGGTGCTTCGCCGCACTCAAACTTGTTTGGCCTTTGTTCATGACCTCTAGAGGATTGTTTTTGTGGTGGTAATTGAATGAAATCGTTTCAGAATTGTTGGATCTTAGGCAAGGGTTGGCGCGGCACCCACGGGTTCAAACTTCATGAAATCGTAACCAATTCTTGTCAATTTTGGCTAGAATGGGATGATGGGATGATGAGATGTTGTGATGAGGTTTAGTAATGATGGGAGGTTGAGGAAAGCCAGAAAAATGGATGGAAAGCTGTCGGGAAAGTCGCTGGAACTCGGGTTGGGTTGCGGGTCTTCAAAGGGATCTGATTCCCTCTTTTTTTTTCTCTCTCCTTTCCCCTCCCTTCTCTTGTTTCTCTGGAGCCTTCTAGAGTGAAGGTTAAATTTACTAGAATGCCCCCGACTTTAAACGCTAGTAACTCTTTTGTTATAGCTCCAAATTACATTGTTTACGCTCACGCACTTGTATTGACAAGTACTACGCAAATATGCTAAAAGAATGAGTCATACATCTCTCTAAACAATGGTCAACAGAAGTCAAAATCTTTGCCTCTAGGGACATTTTCATCGATTCACACTTTTAAAATTTATATTATCATAAAATTATGGACGGGTTGTCACATAATTTATCATATTCCCAAATGTATAGCAATATATCATAGTCTTTAGATCCGATTAGGGCTATCAAACAAGGACAAAGCCAAAAATTTAACTAAGAGGGGGCATCTTAAAAAATTTAAGCTCCTTTTTTTGACAAATAAAGCTAGTTTTTTCACAAATGTTGAAAAAATTAGTTAAACATGCCTAATTTTATTACTCTATTGTCTAATTTTGTCTTTAATTGTTGTATTGACAATCTCAAGCTCATTCATACTAATTAACCAAATGCATGCAACTCAACAAGGTTTAGACATTAGTGCGTGAAGGTAAAAAAAAAGAAAGGAGGGGCATTTAAAAACTAAAAGAGGATTTTTCACTATTTTAATATGATTAATGGAATAATTTTTAGGGAGTTTTAACAAAACACTCCCGGTACTTTTTAATGAAAAACCACATTTTTACCTTCCTTGGTACTATTCACTACACCTTCATTTGTCATTTTTCATTAAAATTAAAGTTTTTTTGGATTTTTCGTTAGTTTTTCTTAATTTTTAATGCAAAAAAAAATGAGTGAGAGGGGGCATTGTCCCCCCGCCCCGAGGCCTTACCTCCCTCCATCCATGCTGGCAAATGAATCGCAACCTGAATTGCCTAAACAAGCTAATCAAATGTGGATTCATCTTCCACACAACTTATGAGGCGGCTCAAACATGGCTTGCATGAAATACAAATGCCAAAGTGACATTGTTAATAATTTAACCTACTAATGTTATCATTTGTTAAAACAAAATTATTTACAAGAAAGAACCGTGGTCGAATTAGGGTTTAGGATTCAATGTGTTGAACTAGTTCCCCACAACTACATACATGCAATCGGATCCGTTTACAAACCTTCATACTGCATGGGTAAACTAAACTTGTCCCACAACTATATACATGCCGAGTTGGCAAGTTCTGATTGGCTAGTGAAAGTCCACATGGCAACTAAGTAGGACCCAGTACGACCAAAGCCAAATGTTAGAGAAAGAACGAGTCAGACGTAACTTTGCTTCCTATATATAAATACAACTCTCCAATCTCCGCATCCCTCTCTTTCATTTTTTTTGGCGTCCCTCTTATCCTTCCTTCTCCTCCCTCTCTCTCACTCGCACACACACAGGTTCGTTCATGTTCTACTTTCGATCTCGATCCAATATTTCGTAATTGCTTCGAACAATGTAGGACCGATCGATTTTTGGCTTTTGATTTGCATGTCATTTGTTTCTTTGGATCCAATTCCTTCATTACATTTGAGGGATTTTTTGTAACATTTAAATTTAGGACAATTAACTATAATAAACATAGTTTAACATTTTGTTGCAGATCCTATATCAACGACACAACGATGTTCATTTCCGTAAATCATATATAATCAGATCATATAGCTATATGATGAATAATTTGAGGATTTGGTGTTTATGGTTTTGTAATTGTATGGTCTGAATTTCATCGTTAGATCTCTTGGAGAATTGTGGTGTGTAATTAGATCTAGATTTGTGGTAACAATATGTATTGGTTTGCCGATATCTGTAGCTAATGCTTGTTCATCGTTGTCTAGATTTTTGTAATCGAAATTCGGATTTCATTGGCAGGGAAGATGGGAATTGTTTAGATTTGGCATAGCATGTGACAATTTATACATGCTTTCATATTTCACAGGCTTGTATATTTTTTTTCTTGAGATTTCAGTTTTCTTGTCGAAATAGAGAAGTGATTCATATTATTTTTGGTTTTTCTCAGTCTAGAGATAGAGATGGAAACGTTCCTCTTCACCTCCGAATCTGTCAACGAGGGACATCCCGACAAGCTTTGCGACCAAGTCTCAGATGCCGTTCTCGATGCTTGCTTGGAACAAGACCCGGAGAGCAAAGTTGCATGCGAGACATGTACGAAAACCAACATGGTCATGGTCTTCGGTGAGATCACAACAAAAGCGAAAGTAGATTACGAGAAAATAGTCCGAGACACTTGCAGAGGAATTGGGTTTACATCAGCTGATGTAGGCCTTGATGCTGACAACTGCAAAGTCCTCGTCAACATTGAGAAACAAAGCCCAGAAATTGCAGAGGGAGTTCATGGACACCTTACCAAGAAGCCCGAGGAAATTGGAGCTGGCGACCAAGGCCACATGTTTGGTTATGCCACTGATGAGACACCTGAGTTCATGCCACTCACCCATGTCCTTGCTACCAAGATTGGTGCCAAGCTTACGGAGGTCAGAAAGAATAAGACGGTCCCATGGCTGAGGCCCGATGGTAAGACCCAAGTGACTGTTGAGTACCAGAACGAGAACGGGGCCATGGTACCTATTCGGGTGCACACCATCCTCATCTCAACCCAACATGATGAGACTGTCACAAATGAGCAGATTGCTGCTGATTTGAAGGAACATGTGATCAAACCTGTCGTCCCAGCTCAATTCATTGATGACAAAACTATCTACCACTTGAACCCTTCAGGTCGATTCGTCATTGGAGGACCCCATGGAGATGCTGGGCTCACTGGCCGGAAGATAATTATAGACACCTATGGTGGTTGGGGTGCTCATGGTGGTGGTGCTTTCTCTGGAAAAGATCCAACCAAGGTTGACCGTAGTGGTGCATACGTTGTAAGGCAGGCAGCAAAAAGCGTTGTTGCATCCGGGCTTGCTCGCCGCTGTATTGTTCAGGTTTCTTATGCAATTGGCGTCCCAGATCCCCTGTCGGTTTTCGTGGATACCTACAGAACTGGAAAAATCCCAGACAAGGACATATTGGTTCTCATCAAGGAGAACTTTGACTATAGGCCGGGAATGATTGCCCTCAACCTTGATTTGAAAAGAGGAGGCAACTTCAGGTACCAGAAGACTGCTGCTTATGGTCATTTTGGCCGCGATGATCCAGATTTCACATGGGAGACCATCAAGATCCTCAAGCCAAAGGCTTAACACAACGAGCTAGTTTCGGAAAGGTGGTTACCATCATAGCCGTTGTTCATAACGTTAGAGAAGAATAAGAAACTTTCATCGCATGCGTCGGATGTCGAGGTCTACATTTCAAGGCTCAAGTTAGAGTTGAGAAGACGAGATGTGTGCTGTTAAGTTGAGGCAGTAGCAAAGTTAGGAGCCAGTATGTTGCGTTGTCTTTCGTTGTTCTATCATTTTTCATGTTCCCATTTTTTCCGAACCCAGATTCTTGACTGTTGAGGATTCTATGTCAAAGTAGAAGCTCATTACGAACGATTGAAATCAAATAATTGTATAATCGTAGACTGCAATATTTAAATTTCATTGCTGGAAGTGAGAAAATCCAATCTTTTGAGCTTCTGGAACATCAACTAATGTAATAGCTTGGATGACTACACCCATAGCTAAAATGTTCAAAACAATTATCCCTAACATGTCTCGATTCACGAATGCAACCACAACCGATCATGCAACCGCTCTTCTCCAGCACCAAACATCTCATCAACCCTTTCGCCATCCCGGTAGAAATGGAAGGTGGGGGTGTAGTGAATATGCTGGGTTGTTTCGTGGCATTCATCAATGTCCGCATAGAGGAGAGCCTGGCGAAACTATTACTCAGATGACAGAATGCAGGAAGGATCTGGCTACACACACACGGCACCTGAAAACGAGACCGAATCGAAGCAATTGAGTCGGGGAGGCAATTCATCGAACACCTTGTGTGCAAATTGAATTGCTTATAGTTTCGAAAATACTAGAAGGAAGAGACATACCAAGACGCACCATAATTGATAACTGCCTGCAAGAAGATGAAAAAAGACAAAGATTTAATGGATTGCAATGGAAAATTCCACATATATACACGCACACACATATATATAATAATTGAAAGGTGGGATTTTGGGTGCATACAGGGGATTTGCAGGACTTGATCTGAAGAACAAGGTCTTTGAGGTTTTGGTCGCTGGAAGCACTATTTAGGTTGTCATGACGATTCTCTGGTAAATCCAAGCCCGTGCCTTCTAATCCCTTCTTGCTGTCGGTGGCTCCGTCGCCTCCTCCGCCAACTCCTCCCGCCATTTCTTTCAGCTTTCAATTGTGGTGCTCTCTCTCACCCACGAAGGATTTTGTCATTCGTCGACGAGCACTAGCGTCATTTGACTCGTTTTCTCTCTACACGTAACACACCACTATCATTTACGGTGTAATTACATTATACGCCCTCCAATATTATTATTTTTCTTTCGAGTCAAGCGATAACGTTAGTAAGTTAAATGTTAGATTAGTCACTGACGAGGTTTGAACTTACATCGTTATGTAAGAGCACAATATCTTTCTACTACTATGGTAAATGGCCACTTTACGCCCTCCAATTTTTTTAAATGAGCTATGCGTTATAAAAGTTGTGGGTTTGAATACCTACATGGTTTTAGTCAAAAGTGAAAAAGTAAAGATGACTAAAATGGTGGTATTGTCAGATTTCTAAAAATTGTGATATTGTTAGATTTTGTTATTGTTGGATGACATGGTTTTCAACTTGTATGGCATGATTTTCAACATGCCTTAATTTCTCTTGTAGACTTCCGCACTTAAATGGTTCATATAAAGAGCATGCAGTGTATGATCAAACAACACACCAAATCAATAGTGAAAAGCAAATAATATCTGTATCCCTCACATTTTTCTACTTGCATCCTTTGTGTGATACAGTTACAAAAATAAACAGTGTGATATATTGCACTCGTTCTACTTCTATCTCTAGCAAATGTTATCTTTCTCTCAATTTTACCTATTTATAACACGTTATTAGCACGACTCTCTAACTCTAGCTAGTTTTCATTTTATTCACCAAAAAATGTTTCCCATAAAGATCTTAATGTTCCTTTTCTTTCTCTGCCTCACTTGCTTTATGTTTCCCCGCCAAGAGCTGCTAGCACCATGTCTTCTCCTAGTCCTCAATTTAATAATTACTTATATTTTTTTTATTTCTCATTTGGTGTAGCTCCGGATTACTAATCTTGCACTGCAATTTTAGGTGGTGCAATATAATTGCTCATCTTGAACTGCATATTTAATTTTACTGCAATTTTTGCTAGTGCAGTATAATCGCTCATTCTACACTATTATTTTAATAGGAGTGGTGCGTTACAATTGCCGTCCTTATTAATTTTCTTTCTAATACTCAATACTGATGGTAGAGCCTGTGTAGTGAGGATTATTAACTACCTATTATTTTATTTTATTTTACCTTCCTCATTAATTTTCTTTCTTTCTAATAATAATACTCAATACTGATGGCAGTGTCTGTGTAGTGAGTATTACTAACTACCTAATTTTTTTTTAATTAATGTCTAATTTATGTAAATCTCGAGCCTGAAGTTTCAAGTGCTTATCAATTTGGCCTGAAGATCAAAATGCAAAATTTGTAAGAACTAGAAGTTCTAACACTACATCCCTCCAAAATCAATATTATTACAAATTCTTACACATCTCATTTTTCTTTTCAAAAAAATGAAAATGGCGAACTTGGGAAATCTTGATTTTGTTGCCCTTGATATCACTGAAAAAAATTATCTTACGTGGGTAATGGAAGCCAATATCCATTTGGAGGCAGAAAATATTGGAGACACCATCAAGGAGGGTAAGAATGCATCCTCTCAAGATCGAGCGAAAGCCATGATCTTGATTTGTCGCCACCTCGATGAAGGATTAAGGAGCGAGTACCTAACAGTTGAAGACCCACTGGTTCTCTGGAATGCATTGAAGAACAGGTGTAATCACCAGAAAACGGTGATTCTCCCAAGAGCTTGTTATGAGTGGACACACCTAAGAATCTAGGATTATAAGACGATTGCTAAATATAACTCTGCAATGTTCAGAATTGGCTCCCAAATGAAACTTTGTGGGGAGACTATCATTGAGGAAGATATGCTAAAAAAGACTTTCAATACTTTTCATGCCTCCAATGTGCTCCTACAACAGCAGTATAGAGAGCAAGACTTTACTGCAACTAGTTGATATCAGTGTTCCTGGTGGCTGAACAAAACAATGAGCTCCTAATAAAAAATCATCAGTCTCAACCAACTGGTTCAGCGCCATTCCCAGAAGTGAATGATGCTTCTCTTGAAGCAAACACCACCTCATCTCGTGGCAATAATTACAGACGAAGACGTGACCATAAGTGAGGGCGATGAAATGTGAAAGGCAGGAACCATGGTGTCTAGTTTTACATGGGTCCAAGGCATAATCCAAGCTCGAGCTTCATAAATGTAAACCACCAAAAGGGTAAACCTCATATAAATAACGCACCTAGAAATCATGAAGGAGTTTCCCATAGGTGTGGTGGCAATGAGCACTCAGTGCATACATGCCATATCCTAAAACATCTAGTGGATCCTTGTCAAGCCTCCCTCAAAGAAAAAAGTGTTGAAACCAATTTCATCAACCAGGCTAAACCAATGGATATATCTGATCCAATGTTCGATTTATCAAGTCAATTGAACACAACCTATCTGGATGTTTCAGACTTTGTTATAGAAAGAGGGAATGAAGTATATCGGTTTGTTTAGATTATTTTATGTTCAATGTATTTTTGCTTTATTAAATGAACTTGTAGTTTAAATCTTGTATTTCAATTCAATAAAAAGTGGCATTGCAATTTCCTTTTTATTATAAATAAATTTTTTTTTAACTCTAATTGTTCTACTCATAAAGCATGGATAAATATACGATTGTCCTCAAAACAAGAACAATGGCGAAGATATTTGTCTTGTAGACAGCACAACCACGCATACAATACTTGGAGATCGAAAATATTTCTCAAGCTTGATACTTACAAAAGCAAAGGTAATAACAATACCATGCCCATTAGATGTAATTAAAGGCTTAGGAAAAGCCCAGGTCATGTTACTAAATGGAACAATATTGTCTATACAAAATGCATTGCATGCTACTCGATCTACAAGAAATTTGTTGAGTTTTAAAGATATATGTTTAAATGGATAACACATTGAAACAAAAAGATAATGTAGAATATCTATGTAGTACCTCCAATGATACCCAGAAGCGTAAATTGGAGAAGTTGTGTGGTCTATCGAGTGGATTGTATTATACATACATAAGGATAATTGAAGCACATACTGTCATAAACCAAAAGTTCATTGATCCAAAATTTACATGCTTTGGCATGACTATCTGAGTAATCCAGGATCCACCAAGATATGTAGGATCACTACCAACTCTAATGGGCATCCATTATTGAGCATACATATTGCTATATTAAATGATAACGCTTGCTAGGCTTGTTCTCAAGGGAAGTTGGTAGTTAGGCCATCACAATCAAAGATTGATGCTAAAACCCCATCTTTTTTTCAAAGAATTCAACGAATATTTGTGGGCCTATCCAACCACCTTGTGGACCATTTCAATATTTTATGGTTTTGGTTGATGCATCTACCCAATGGTTACATGTTTGCCTCTTGTTTACTCAAAATGTAGCTTTTGCGAGACTTCTTGCTTAGATAATTAAACTACGAGCACAGTTCCCAGACCATCTTATTAAGTCGATCCAACTTGATAATGGTGGTGAATTTACATCTCAAACTTTTGATGATTATTGCACGACACTAGGCATTGTTGTTGAACACCCTATTCCTCATGTCCATACTCAAAATGGTTTAGCAGAAGTATCTATTAAGTGGCTTCAATTAATAGATCGCTCTCTACTCATGAAAACAAAATTACCAGATTCTATATAGGGACATGTCATCCTACATATTGCATCATTAGTTCGATTGAGGCCTATTGCCAACCATCAAAACTCCTTAGTACAACTCGTATTTGGGTATCAGCCAAACATTTCGCATTTCCGAATTTTTTTGGTTATGTTGTTTATGTGCCTATTGGACCGCCACAATGTACTAAAATGGGACCTCAGCGCAGACTGGGAATTTATATGGGCTTTCATTCACCATTTATCATTAAATATTTAGAACCCTTGTTGTGTGATATTTTTACCACTCGTTTTGTGAATTGTCACTTTGATGAGACAATTTTCCTACCATTAGGAGGAGAAAAAACTGTTCCAAAAGAAAGAAGAGAAATAACATGGGATGTACCTACCTTGTCTTATTTCGTTCCACGAAGCACTCAATGTAAAGATGAAGTGAAAACAATCGTTCATCTTCAAAGTATTGCTAATCAAATGCTAAATGCATTTGATGATGCAAAGAAAATGACAAATCACACATACCAGCAGCAAATGCGCTTGCAAGAATCGATGTCCCTGTTGGACAAAACAAAGTGGCACCAAATGATTCATCCAGTGCATGCCTGAAAAGTGGTAGATCCCCAAGTTCAAAAGATTCATCTCCTTGAAAGAGGAAGATGAAGGCACGCCTAAATCCAAATGAAATCATTCATGAAAAGAAAATGAATGACGGATCCACAATTCATGATTTTGTACTTCCAAAAAAAGAAAATGTCCTTGATGAGACACACATCCCTAAAGAGACAGAAGTACATGAAAGCAAACAAATCTCCATAAATTAAGCGTGTAATAATGAATTGTGGAATCAAGATGAAAAAATGATCGACGACATGTTCGCATTCCCAATAGTTGCTAAAATCATTTAAACGATGATATTGAGCACCGTTCTGTCGATGAACGAAAAACAAAGACAAGATTGGCCTAAGTGGAAAGATGCAATCCAGACAGAATTAAAGTCCTTAGAAAGGTGAAGTGGTTTTAGATCAGTAGACCAAACTCTGCCTGGCGTGAACTCCGTAGGTTACAAATGGGTATTCATAAGAAAGCGCAATGAGATTACAAAATATAAAGCACGACTCGTTGCACAAGGTTTTTCGCAAAGACCTGGAATTGATTATGGGGAGACATACCCTCATGTAATGGATGAAATTACATTCCATTACTTAATAAGTTTGGTGGTTTTAGAAAAAATTGATATGCAACTTATAGATGTCATCGCCGCATATCTATATAGAGAATTAGATACCGATATCTATATGAAAGTTCCATAATGACCTAAGTTGCCTGAAACGACTAACAAAACAAGGTATGCTCTTAATCAAATTAAGGCGATCATTATATGGGCTAAAATAATTTGGACAACTGTGGTATAATTGTCTCAGTGAGTATTTGATCAAGGAAGAATATACCAATAATGTCACTT